GGATCTCCCCAAAACCCCAAAACCCCAAGCTTTAAACATATTTTGATTGATTGAATTTGAATAAATTTTTATTTGATACTTTGATAATTAAATGTTATTCCCTTTCCTCACCATAAAATTAACAAGATCATAAATTAGTCAGTCAATATTTGATTCCAGCACAAGCATCCTCCATTTTTCTTTTGCTCTACTCTATCTGAACAATTCATTGTTTTTAAAGGGACCGCAGACTTATAACACCATATCACTTGCTTTTGCATCATTAAATATCCCATCGCTTATAATTTCAGAATATTCTGCGAATAGCCCAGAGTTAGTAAAAATATTCTTTAAAATCGTAGTTATTTCCTCTCTCAAATCTTTTATATTCTCTCCTGTTTTCAATGATAGTACCCCATTTATCAGCAAAGCTTTAATATAAATGTCACTATATCTCTCTATGCTTGATTTCTTATAAAGATCAACAGCCTATTTAATCATTTCTAATGCTTTTTAAATTCTCATGTCTTCCTGTAAATCACTTTAATATTGATAAATCTCAGCCAACTACTCATAGTAATTCGCTATTTATTCTAATCTATCTGGCAAGTTAATCTTAGTGTAATCAATTAATTGCTAATAAATGGATTCACATGACTTATAATCTTGCAACCCTTTGTAGCATTCACAGATTTTAAGTTAATCTATTATATATTACTCTGGTTTTTTGCCTTAAGTTTTGGATTGACCATTGCTCTTAAATGATTTAGACTCTTATAAATACTAAATAGCCTCTGCATAATTCTTCAGCATTAAATGCGCAGAACCAATGTTTGCCAATAGTTAAGCATTTAATGTTGCCTGCATATTTCTATTTGGCAGTTCCTTTAGTAAATCTAAGGCAAGAGTAAAATTTTTGACAGATTCCTTAAAATCACCCTTCTTCATCTAAAGTTTTCCCTGAGAATTGTACAATTGCACTAATACATCAAGTATCTGAGAGGGCTATTATTAATTTTTGAGGTTCATCACTTTAAGGAGTTTTGTTTAGATTATAGAAATTGCTTTCTCATTATACTTCAGAGACTTCTAGGTGAATTTCAAGTCGTTATAGAGGTTTGAAATCTATATATAAAGTTGAGTTAGATCAAATTGATCCTTCACAATTTCAGGGTTTAAATTTTGGATTAGGATTTTCTTAATCTTCTTGAGGAACATTATAGCTACTTCCTATTACCCATCCATATTCTTAGAGTAAATTTAAGCTATAAGATATAAAATCTTTAGCTGAGATTAATGATTTGCACCATCCAATCTTAATCTTTACTTAAGAGCTTTGAAGATGTTTAGTAATGCTCGTATGAAGTCTTGCTTCTACAGGTAAGTAAGTCCTATATTAAGGAAAGTATCAGAGATAATAGGATGATTAGGAGTTTAAGTATCATTGCCTTGATTTTATGATTAAGCTATCTTTCCATAAATATTTAGTTACTTCTTCAAGATTGAAATGTGCGCTTTGACTTCCATCTCATCTTTCCTATCTATTTTATTGCTAATTGGCAAGCTTTCAAAATACTTGATAAAAATTGCTAATGCTCTTTATTCATATGTTAAAGCTTTTACTAAGTCTTGGTTCAAATCTTTCAGAAGTTCACCTTGGAGTTTAAATATTAAACCTTGCTAGATTTTATTTTTGCCCTTGTCGAAAATTGACTTTTAGCTTTTACTAGAATTACTAACGCTATTTTTTATTGATTTTATATCGACTTCGTAAATTTACAAAATGTCATGAGCTGCTGTGAGCTTTCTTTCCTTTTAAAACTAAATTCCTAATCTGTAGTACAAGAAAGGATCGAATTCCAAAATGTTTTATAAGAACTACTTTTAGATTGAACCTATTTGCTTTTCATGATTCAGGAGATCTTTAATGAGTTGGCCAATAAAAACATCTTGTATTTGAAGAATCTTGCAGAGATTATAAATAAATTCAGCTAATTATACCATATCTTAGAATTTAGCCTCTTTTTTCTTTATACTTCCGTTTATGCAATGATTTGAACCTTAATCCTTGTAATAACCTCTAATCTGATTATCAGGTTTAAGATATTAAATGAGGGGACTGCTTAGTTTGAGTGTATAGTGATGAACATCAATTAGTAAATTTTCAGCATTTATTGATTAGAAAACTCCAAAGCCCTTCTGACTTAGGTTGTTTATAATGGAAAGAATCTAAGAAATGATATAAATCAGCTTATCCTTAGAAAAGATTTCAATCATCCCTTGAGTATTAATTAGCTACTTTAGCATTGATGGTATCCAATAGTCTCTTATAATTTCTATCAAACTATGCTGAGGAACTTTCTAGATAACTATATACCCTATTGCACAAAGTGAATTTTCCTTTAACTCTACTAGGATTAGCTCTTCAAGAACTTCTGGATGGAATTAAGAGTTATCAACAACCTTCAAGACCTAGTTTTGATAGATAACTTGCTAATTTATAACTTCTTTGTTTTATATATATCTATCATCATCAAAGATGACTGCTTTTACAATTAGCTTGTCAGTTTTATACTAACCAAAATACTAAAAGTCCTCATGATAATGATAAGGCTAATCAAGAGTTTAATCATAGAAAGCTTAAGGTAGGATTTTACAAAGTTGGCTATGACTACTAGAGTGGGTGATTGCAAATTTAATAAGCTTTTCATTGCTATTCTTATCTTTAGTCACTTCCTGTACATTCACAACTGATTAGCGGTGGGAAAGTTAATCTGCAAGATACTTTCGATCAATCATATCATACACTAGCCATTCATGAGCAAAAACTTAGTTCTACAGAATGAAAAAGCAGCTCTAGTCATTTGGGTTCTTGTAGACCAAGCAATTCTTCGTTGAGAATGGGTGATGAGAAGGACCACTTGACAATAGGTCACTGCTGTCATTTGAATTCGGGCCTTCGAATATCAATCCATCTTTCCCAATAAGACTTTCATGATTGGTTTTGGGGTTTAGAACTGAATGTCTCTGCGACCTGATGCCATGTGCTGATTATGGGATCAGTTCAATTTATATATCATCGTCATCTGAGAGAAAGCCTCTGTGATCAGGACTCCCTTTAGACACGCAAGTTTGATGATATCGATGCACATCCTCGCTAAAATCATTATACTCCTTTATCTCTTGAAGCTGATGTCTCTCCTATTATTTTGAATTTTCGCGGCCTTCGTCTTTGGGACTTGCCATATCTGCCATATTTTGCACTTCATTGTCTTAGGAATCATCTTCGTCGTCTGGATTGAACTAAGATATGATAGAGGATTTGACATAATCCTTGGTGGCATTGGACTCAGAATTTTTAACTTCACTATACTCAGATTTCGTGAGATCTACTTCTTATTTATTATGATCTTGGTGCTTATAGTCTTTCAATGGATCTGAAATGTAATCTTCAATGGAATTTCCTCGTTTTCTCAGAGGGGCCTATACAGTTCTTTGCAAAGTAAAATCTCCATTAGAGCTTTCACCTTAAGTAGTGCAGCACTTGCTTACTATGGTTCCCATTAATTAATTTATCTTTTGATGCAAAATCATTTACCCTTGCATATAAACATTCTCTGTATGCATCATGGGGTTTTGGGGTTTTGGGGTTTTGGGGTTTTGGGG